AAAATTCTTAAGGGCAAGGTGGGCTGGGGAGGGAAGAGGGGCTGCACCACAGTTGCACACCATCCCCAGCCAGCAAAGGGCTGCTCTCTGTGCACGTATCTCCCAGCACCGGTCACATGAAAGTTCTTTGTAATGTAGTTAATAAATGGGAAAGCACTATGGGACTCTGGGAAAAATAGGATGTTGTTAGTGATGGGGAGATTGAGACCATGCACACCTTTTGACACACAATTGCCTGGCTCGGGCAGCACTCCCCCTGCTTTAGCCAGAGAGGTACCTGTGGGAGAAGAGTGGGATCCTGCTCTCCTTTGAAATCCCCAGGGATTGTACCTTCGAGTTCAATGGGAGCAGGATTGAGGCCAGAGTCAAGCAAGGGGTGATTAATGAATGTAGGTTATTCAGAGCAGAGCGGTTCCAATTAGTCCTCAGCAAGCAGTCCTGCGGCAAAGGTGGGCGCTCCCCTGCAATGATTCATACACAGAACCCCAATACTCACTTCGCTTTAGTGAATATTAAAATGTGCACCTATTTTTTTTCCCCCTTCAGTTGGCCAGTTGGCATGTTTCAGGCAGAAATTCAAGTGCAGCCTAAGGAAGGTTGCATTTTTTATCTTTTTTTTTTAATTTGCAACACAAGATTGTTGTAACGACGCCAGACTGGGAGAAAGCCTTTTTTCCCTCTCAATTTGGGTGTGTGATGGGAATTTTCCCTTTTGTTCCCTATTCTTGGAAGTCTGTTTCTAGGAAGGGTTTCTCTTATTACTGTTCAAATAGGGTGCTTTTTCTTTTTTTTCCTCCAAGAAAGAAGATACTTCAGGGAGGCAGAAGTGCTCTCCTTGCTCTTCACTACTCAGTCAATTCACAATACTTCTAAAACCCTATTGCCTGCTCCTGAATTTGCCTGTAAGGAAGCCCAAAGTGACAGGGGAGTGGAGGGATGAGGCTGGACCAAAAGTGGGTCCTGCTCTGGACGGCTTTGGGCTCCGTGCTCCCTCAGGAGCTGCAGCGCCGCTTCAGCGGGGGCTTTGCTGAGGACAAGCCTTGTCCCTTCCCTTCCTTAGGACAGGGCTCCTTTGGGAGCTCTCAGCAAGGGCAGCAGTAAAGCTTCTAAGTGAGCCCCTGTGAAAAAACCTGGGCATTGGTAAAGGCTCAGTCAGGGAACGGGAGGTGGGAGACAAAATAACGAGCAGCCTTGTCTTTATGAGAGGAGATAATTCCCTGCCCGGCCAATAGCAACCAGTTTACCCACAGATTACACATTAACTAGAAAATGGAACTCAAATTAACCAGAATCTGGAGCTTGAACCATTACTCAAACCCTGGTGCAACAGCAGGTCAGATGCCAAAGGGCAGGTTGGTGCCCCGGCACTGGGGAGGGGTGACACACAGCATCGGCATCGGTGACCACAGCCACCAACACCCGCTGTTACCAACAGAGAGGCCGGTATCCCCTCCAAAGGGACCTCAGCAGGAAAAGACTGACCTCCAGCAGCACCCAGTGCCCACTGACACAGGCTCTTGTGGGTGCAGGTGCTGCAGGGGGGCTCAGAGCCTCACCTCAACCTTGGCACCTCGACCCTCAACAGCGGCTGGACCAGCTGGACAGAGGAACAGCAACAGGTTCTCTCCCTTCTGTGCCACCAGCACCCAGGAGGGATGACCTCTCAGCTGGGAAAGAGTTGCATCAACAGCAGGGGGTAAAAAATACAAAGGGGAAAAAAAAAAAGTTGGGTTTATGAGCCTGGGTCTGGAGATAAACACCCCGTCCTGGGGAGGCTGGAGCATCCTTTGGAGAGGCCTCTGCCTCTCACATAAACTGGGCAGATAATCCCATTCCAAGAGCAGGAGCGAACTCTGCGAATGGACACTGGAGGCTCTCAGGGAAAGGTGGCTTTAAACAAACTGGGTCAAGAGTTTGAGGAGCCTTTCAAGTCAAAATGCCCTTTGACATGGAGAACTGCAGTGAAGAGAGGATCACTCAGAGACCTGAATGTTTCTAGCACATTAACCTTTGGGATTGATTGTTTAGAACAAATAACTCTCAAAAGTTGGAGGAAGTCCTTTGGATTTTTTTTTTTCCTGCTCCTCAGCTCTCTCTGGGCTCTCCAAGGCCTGTAGCAAAAAAAAACAAACAAACAAAAAAAACCCCAAACAAACAAAAAAAACACCAAACCCCAAACAAAAAAAAAAAGAAAAAAGAAAAAAGAAAAACCCACAGGGCAAACAAAACAAAAAAGAGGGGTAAAAAAGCAAAGAAAAGAAAAAAAGGAGGCAGTATGGACCAAAATGTCAAGAAATCTTTTGATCTAGCATTAAGTGGTTCTGTGACAAGCCATGCCTGATGTGGTGTCATCCCTTACTAGAAACAGGTATGCTTAGCTGGGATCAGATGATAAGAGGATGTGAAGTCTTCCCTTTGACTTCACTCCATCATAAAACAATCAAAATACAGGGCCATATCATGTCATCAGGTATTTAAGCAGACCTCCCCTTTGAGATCTCCTAAAACTTGGTGGGATGATCTGAGTCACTGAAACTGAGCTCACTGCACTACTGAGAAGTCAGAAGCAGCACCTGAAAGCTCACGTTTTTCAACTGCCTGAAAGAACAACTTGATTTCTAGCAGGTGACAATTGTCCATTTTACAGGAAGCTATCCTTTTCCTTCTCCCCTCCTGGTTATTGAGCCCAGCTCTTGGATCAGCATCGCCCCTTCGGCAGGCAGCACGCTGAAGTGCTGCGCTCGGAGTTATTGAACTTTAAACTACAGACTAAGAAACTGAGTACGGAATCAAAAAAATGCAGTTTATTATTGTAGATTATTCTCTCTTTTGATATAACCATAGAGTTGAAAATGAAAGAAAAGCACATAGGAACATCACACGTGGTTAGTTAGTAACTCAAGATATAAAACAATTTTGCACAGCAAAATATGTAAAAGAAAAAGTAACTGACAAGATTTTTTTATATTTATTGTGGTAAGATTTACTTTCCATTTTTTTTTTTTTTAAAAGACAGGATATCAGTCCCTGAAAATAAAATTTACTGATTATTGCCTTTAAAACTGTGGAATTTTTGAAGTTACAGAAAATCCAGTTCTGCACCACAATACAACTGTAAAAAATCTGCATCATTTTAAAACTGTGCAGTAATGCCATCTTTATAACTGCATAAATTGTATTAGCGTTCTAAACAGGTTCGTAATTTTTTTTTGTTGTTTTTGTATTATATGCTTGCAGGTTATATCTTAGTGCAATTCAGTCCCAAATACTTCAATTTTGAAAAAAAAAAAAAAACAACCCATACATTTTTAATGTAAAATACCCCTATAGATATAAACAGGGGTGCCTCCCCCTTTTAATACTTTGGTTTTCAAATACAGTCAGTGGTATAGCAAGGACTACATATACCCAACTTATATTTAAGTTGCAAGCACATGCTGCATAAACTACTTTTTAAAACAGTCCCGTTGCAAATTCTACCCCCCTTTACATCACGACAGTAAACAATTTAGTGCATCAATCTTTTAAAAAAAAAATCTACATCTAAACAGACCTAACTCTTTCGAATTTATCTATAACATTCCTTTATCTGTAGCATACATTTTAACTGGGCTAACAGATGACAGAAACTAGAATTAAATTATATACTAGGAACCCAGAGCATTCCACATTTGACAATGACCAAATGCAAAAGGAAAAAAAAATGGGGCAGATCACTTAAAATTAATTTTAGACTGTTTTTAGGCAACAGCATGGTTTCAATGTCCCCCCCAAGTGGGATGTGACTTTTGTTTTTGAACACCTTTCCAAAGTTCTTTCTGTGTTTTTTTTTTTTAGTACTTTTTTTTGCCACATTAGGTTATCAAAATCCATTCTGGCAGGTTTTTTGAGAGGGAATGCTTCAGTGCATTTAAAAGGAAGTCTGAAGTTTTGAGTAACTCAAAGCAGTTTTAGAGCAGATGCAAACTTTAATGGGGAGGAAGAGGAGGAGGAAGATCAAAGGTTGCACTTTTTTGCTTTCAACCCAAAAAAGTGATGAGGCAATAAAACAAAAGGATGAATGCCATGCCATAATAGTCTCCAAAAGTCCATTTCCAAGCAAAAGAAAAAAAAAATAATTATACCGTACATGACCAGCATGCAGGGTTTTTTATTAATATAATGTCTCTTTTTCATAGTCTTTTGAAACAGTTATAGTTCATTGTTGCTAAGACAAAATAGCAAGCGTAATGCATGAGATGAGTATGGGATTCTAATGGCAGACTAAAGTCTCACGTTTGGCAGATTAAGGCCAAAACTCACATGAACACACCGAAGGTTGATGCAGGCTTGATTTTGGCAGGTTGATCTAGGCATATCTCTAGTTTTGCACAACAACGCTAAAAACTGATGGAACTCAGCAAGCTGGAGTCTAAAAATTTCACATTGTTTTTTGTATATTTTTTATTTTTTGTTTGTTTTTTTTATTTTTTTTATTTTATTTTTCTTTTTGCAAAGCTCAAATCTCATATGAAGAACTCAGGATGGCAAAAAAAAAATCTGACTTTTTGGACACAGCAAGCTCAAAAGAAAAAAAACCCTCATGAACTTAAAAATATACATATATAATGTGGATGGCAGGTTTCAAAGAAGAGCAAGCTTCATATGAAGAACTGAGTTGGTGGCGAGTTGAATCTTTCAAATTAAAAAAAAAAACACAACAGCAAGCCCCCACAAAAATAAAAAATAATAATAATAATAATAAACAGAAAGGAAACTCATGTAGAACTTTAGGTTGGCCAACACGGAGCCAGCCCACCTTAAAAAGAAAAAAAAAAAAAAAACAACAGAAATTAACCCAAAAAACAACTTTGTTTTAAAATTGTTTTGAGTTTGTTTTTTTTTTAAAAAAAAAAAAAGTTAATAGAAGGTGGCAAGCGGGGTTGTGGCTCTAGCAAAGCCCCCAACAACAACTCACACGGAGAACTTTTAGTTAAGGTGGCAAGGCTGTGGGAACTCACATGAAAAACTCTGGAGAGGAAGGGTTGTCGCTGCTGGATCCGTTTTCTCTGAAGCCATTGCTGACCAGCTTCTCGTACTTTTCCTTGTAGGCGTCCCTCTCCCGGACCAGCCTGGAGATCTCCTGCTTTAGGTGCTCCACTTGCTGCAGCAGCTGGTTCTTCTCCGACTCCAGGACGTGCCGCTGCTGGACCCTCTTGAAGCGGCAGGACTGGGCATAGCCCCTGTTTTTGAGGGTCCTCCTCTTCTGCTTCAGCCGGATCACCTCTTCCTTGCTGACGCCCCGCAGCTGCCGGTTCGCTCCGCACCGCCAGGTCACCCCGCTGCTCGTCGGAGAAGTGCGGTCGTGCGACGTGGAGGCCCGCCGCTGCCGCCGCCGCCGCCGCCGTGGTGCGGCGTGGTGCACCCCCGGCGCCGCCGCCGCGCCGCTGCCGGAGCCGGGCGGGGCCGAGGAGGCGGAGGAGGCGCGGCGCCGCTGCGGCGCCGCGGCGTGGGGGTGCCCGCCGCCGCCGCCGCCGCCGGCGCACGTCCGTGGTGCGGGTGGTGTGGTGTGGTGGTAGTGGGGCGGCCGCCTGGCCGCGCCAGGTGCGATCACCGCCGAACACCACAGGCGGCCGCCTAGGCCATCTCCTCGCGGCAACGGAGCCGCGGGGCTCGCGGCCAGTTGCTGGGGCCGCTCTAGCATAGCCATCGAAGGCGCCGGGCAGCGGGTGGTGGCTGCTGTTGATCAGCGCCTCCACCGCGTCCTCGGGGCTGAAGCCCAGCGCCTCCGGGTTGAGCTGCTGCGGGTACCCCGTCATCCAGTAGTAGTCTTCCAGGTGGGTCTTCTGGTCGGAGCCGGAGCCGGGGCTGGGCGCCGAGAAGCTGGGGGACGGGGGCACGGAGCTGCAGGGCGTGCTCATCGGGGTGGAGGAGAGCGATCCCCCGGCGATCAGGCGGCCGCACTGGCTGATAATGCGATCGGTCTCCACCGGCTCCTTTTTCACTTCAAACTTCATCAGATCGAAGTCATTAACATATTCCATGGCCAGGGGACTGGTGGGCAGGTCGGAGCTGCTCATCGCCAGCTCTGATGCCATCCTTTTGCTGCCGAGAGTCCTCCAGAAAGGGTGCGCTCCGGGAGCGAGGGGGCTGCTCTGAGTCGCCACCGGGTGAGCCAGCTTGATTTTTGGCGAGCTCCGCTCCGCTCTCCTGCTCTGCCTCCGCTCCGGTCCGCCCCGGCGGCTCCGCTCCCGCTCCGCGTTATCCCTCGCAGAGGCTCCGCTGATGCATCAGAGCGCGGGGCTCTCGCTATTCGCCTTTTGCATAGAGGGTTTTTTTTTTTCCTCCTCTCTCCCTCCCTTCTCTCTCTCCTCTCGCTCTCTTTCGCAGCTCGCGAACCGCAGCTGGAAGTGTTAGCTGGTGTTGTTGCGAGTAAATTTGTTGTTGTTGTTGTTGTTTTGTTTTGTTATTTTTAACACTTCATGGTGCCTTTCCTCTGGGCTCTCTCGTGCAAAGTGCAGAGCGAAGAGAGAGGTTCATCGGGGGAGGGAGGAGGGAGAGAGAGCAAAGGCGAAAAAAATTTTAAAAAAAATCAGAGTCTGTATCGCAACCAAAATAATAATAACAATAATTAGAAGAGTTAAAAACAAAAAAAAAAAAAGGAGAGAGAGAAAAAAAAAAAACACACAACAAGTCGGCCTCAAAGCTACAGCAAGAAGATGAAAAATATTTAAAGGTTTGATCCGGCAGGAGAGTTTAAAGCATTGCGGGGTTTTATAGCGCCCCTGACGTCACACGGGACACGGGCTCGGGGCTGGGCCAATGGGCGCCCGCCGCCCGGGCTCATTAGCATAGGAGTATAGCGACAGGGAAACTTTCCGGGCTGTCAGTCAGGGCTCAGCTGACTGTCAGCGCCCGCTTAACCCCCTCCTGGCCGCCGGGGCCTGCGCCTGGGCACGGCCGGCTCGGACACGGGATCGGGGCACCCGCGGGACGCTCCTGCCCGCGCCGCACCGGGGCGAGCGCCCTGCCCGGGCGGAGTGGCCCGGGAGCTGCCCCTGCCGCCCGCCGCCGGCACCAGGGCGGCGGGGGAGCTCGGCCGCCGGGAGGAGGGAGGCGGGGGGAGCGCGGGCGCGGCGGCAAGGGGAACCGGCCAGCGCGGGGGGGAGGGGCGGCGCGGGGGCAGCGCGGGGCTCGCGCCTGCCCGGCGCCGGTACCTGCGAGGGCCGGCGGCCCTTCCCCGTGCCGGCCCGCGGGCCATCTCCGCTCCCCCGCAGGCCGCCCGCGCACTATTGATTATTTCGTAGGGGGATTCGGGGCATCGATCCCTCGTTCCCCTCGCAGCCCGCCGGCAGGTGGCGAGAGCCCCGCAAGTTTTGCAAGGCCGCGCCGTACTCCCCCCACACCTCTCCCGGTCGCGCACTCGCCTTTGCCAGCAGGGCTAATATTTAATACATTAGAACTAATTGTATTATACTTTCGTCTCCTCGATCACCTCCCATCACCCCCTCTCCTTCCCCTTTCCTCCGGAGGGGGCTGGGGCCGGGCCGGGGGGCCGTTGGAGGGCGCAGCGCTTGGAGAGGAGGCGGAGGCGGCTTCGGTTCGAACCTCGACAGCGCATTCTCGTACCACAGGTCAGATGCGAGCGGCCGGGCCGCGCGGGGAGGGACGGGAGGGAGGGACGGGCCCCCCGTCGGGGGGCGCCAGCCTCCGCGGCCGCCGCCGGTCCCGCCCGGTCCCGGCTGCACGCGCGCCTCCCGCGCGGGGCGGGGAGACGCGGCGCGCACAGCCTCCCGGGCTGCCAGTCTCGGTTTTCCGACCGGGCTTTATGGGAATATCGATAGAATTAAAGTTACTTGTAATTCCGTGATAAATGAGATGTCTCTAGTAAGTAAGATTAAGTGCGGTGCTATAAAGTTGTTTATCTGAAAAGTAATTCTCAGAAACCTGACTTCTGACACTTGGTCATATATTAAACCTGCTTCTTGAACATTGTACTTCAAATCCTCCCTTCTCCCCATGCCCGGTCCCTTCCCCCTCGGAGTTCGCTATTTATAACCCCACTCAGGGTATCACTCTGTAGGTGCGGGCAAGGCTCTGGGTGATTTTTCACCAACTGTGAAAATCATCATTTGCAATAGCCAAAGAATCTCTACTTAGGAAATAGCACTTGGCGAGTGGATTTACGAATGGATAACATCTTCTGACTATGCCATTACCAGTGTGAGTGCCAGTACTAACATCTGAAAGTCATACAGCATGTACTGTTCCTGGCTGCTAAAAGGGTTAGGGCATACTGCAAATTTAGGAAGATAACCACATCTAGAAATGATCATAGTGGCAATTCTGTAAAGATAAAACAATGCTACCAACATCTCTAACAAAATTAAAATAACAATTCTGCACGGTCCCAAAACACAACCGCACACACAGAGCCGTGGACATCTGCTGGCTTTATCTTACAGACTGCGATTCATGACAAAGTTAATACAAGTTAACTACTTGGGCTGGCTTTCCTATTTCTTCGCTTTGTTGGAATCAACAGAACTTCCAGGCTCACGGCATAAATCCCCTCAGGACAGTCCAATTCCCTATATTTGTTTTTTACCAGAGCAAGATGAATGTGGCACTGTATATCACTTAACATGCTCACCTATGAGAGACATTTATGTGTGCTAATATTTTTAAATGAAAAGGTTATGGCGTTTCAGAATGTACAGTTGTAGTATTTCCCTTGCCCGTGTGGTAGAAGGCTGTGGAGATGAGGCTCCAGCCCCATAAAATAGTCTGTTTGGATGTGAGGATTCAAAGTGCTACATTTGCAAACAAGTAAATTTCCTGAGTAAACTCTGAACTCTAGACAAAGAGTATGAAATTGTGTGAGCTAATGGGGACCGTCTCTTAATTGATACCAATGTAAGCAAGTGCTGCAAATTAATTGAAGCTCTGACCTACCAGAACAGCGAGTAAAATTATTAGTTGTACAATATTCTTGTGTGATTGTTACACAGAACTGCTGCACCAAAATGTCTCTACTGTTCAGCGCAGCAGAGAAAAAAAGATTATTAGCAATTTTTGGATAACCTTCAGGAGCAACATTCTCCTCCCTACACCATATAATTCGCATTTTAGTAGTATTTTTCTTTATTATTTGGCTATTCACAATGGGTGTCTAAACATTTACAGTCCTCTATTAACAGTGTTTCTTCCATAACAATCACACACTTTCATTTCAATTAGAGCTATTCAGTCTTCAGTTTTTCCACAATTATCGCAGGCCAATTCCCTCAGACTGCTCCCTTTTCCCAGCACTGTTTGTAACAATCCTGCCCTGAGCCAGGCAGAGGGAAAACTCCACCATCCCTCTCCCAGCCTCTTGCTCTGGCTTGTTTTTAAGCATCTCTGTTCGACGACGTACCGTGGAGCCCTTCTTGCTCCCAGTGTGCCGCTGACCTGGTTCATAAGCCTCCAAACTAATGTATATTTATTGTGGGAGAGTTTTCTGACAGATCGTGCAGGGGGGACGTGAAACATTAACTCCAAATCCACTGGGGTCGGCCTGCTCTGAGCACGCCAGCAGCTGAGGCAGGAACTTCCACCGCTGGAGTGTGTGTGCGTGTGTGTCTATACCCAACACACGAGGCTGAGCAGAAACGAACGTGCAGGTTCTGTGTTATATGGACTCAGGGTGTAATTTGTTATAACTTAAACACATATCAAGGCCAACACATTAAGTACAGTTACTGCTCCTTTTGTTTATCTAGTGTCTTATTTTATGGTGCAGAACTAAACAGTGTCCGCTGAATTTAACTACGAAACCAGCCAAATTGATTTCAGAAAGACTTCTTCGGAGTAGCAGAGTGATAAGGCATAAACTGCTCCTAGGTGCAGTGCTAGATAAATCCTTTTAACAGTCTTCAGATCAGTTAACAGGGTAAGTAAATCACATATCACTGTTAGCAGATTTATGGGAGAGAATTAATAGAATCAGACGAGATAATCTGGTAGGGATAAAATTGCTGAGGAAACAGTCCTGCCTTATACTGGAGAGTATGAAACAACAGTCTGATTACTGGGAGTCGTTATGGATTGGTGAATTATGAGCTAAATCATCATAAGAGTAATTCAGTATTTATTAATTCTTTTCTCTTTAAACAACTCACAGACGCAAATAAAAGCCTCTCTCTCTTTGAAGACACATTCTTTATATATTTTTATTGGATGTAATTTACTATTTGCATTACCTGTATTTACTTCATAATTGAACATTTTGCATTCAAATTTATGTAATGCATAATGCTTGAGAATATATTTCTCCCTTATTAGCATAAATAGTCACTTACCTCATGAATTACTAACAAAGTTTATCTGAAAATATAAGTATATTTTTTATTAAGTGGAACACAAACATATGTACAATAAATTCTGATTTGCCAGTAGTTGTTGCAGAAACACAGAACAACCCCGTATCTGAGAAGAGGGAAAAGAAGCAGCAGCGAAGAAGCAGAATCAATTACTCTGTGTGTATATGTGACAATAATTTCTTCTGTCAATGTTTTGTTTATTTTTAATAAAGGGTGAGTGACTCAAAGGTTTGCTTTAGAAGGAGCAGATGAAAAAAGGCTCTCCACAGTGAATTTTGTCTTTCTTCCCCCTGGTATTTTCCGATGGACTTTTCTCACTGGTGCTGTGCCACTGCAGCCTTTGCTCTGGTGGAGCTCCTGCTGACCCGCTGCACGCCATGAATGGATGCTGCTCTACACTCACTTTCTCATACATTTCCCTTTTCCACCTAATCCTGTTTTTATGCTTGGTTTTACATCCAAATAATCAATATAATTTAGGCCCATTCTGCAGTACTAACACAGCCTTGCTTATTCAGAGAAAACCCCAACCCTATTGACTTCAAAAACGGTGGGATTGAATCCTTGATCCCATTGAAACCAATGACAAAACTTGTATTGATTTCAGTGGAAGCAGGATCAGGTCCTTGATGTTAGCAATTTGTTCATGTCAGAGGGCTGATCCTACAAGAAATGAAAGAAAGCATAGATCTGCTGGCAGGAAATCATGTCTGCTCCCCAAAATTCAGGGGCAAAATTCCCAGTAAACCTATGGTGGATCTCCTTTACGCTCGGGGTTTATCATCGTGGTATGGCGTGGTAGGACGCCTGTGTAATTTTGTCTGGACTCATAAAGCTGGTCCTCCTGGGAGCATTCAAATGAGCACATCTATAAATGTAGCACAGCAAAATGAGCTACTTTTGCCACTCTCGCTTTTCGCGAGCCCGGTACAATCCATTTCTGTGACGACAGTTTTCTGCCCCATACGCATCCAGTACTGCTCTTTTATTTTAAGGCTGAGAAAATCTTCCCTTTAAACTCACGCTGAGCATCAAATTGGACTCCACTTGCAGCTGAACATCTTGACTGTCTCTTCCTTTCCTCCATCAGCTCCAGTGTATTTTATGTAGAATTCTCTCTGTTAATGAAACTTGCTTCCCCTCTCTCTTCACTTTCCAGTTTTGTATTAGTGTTACCAGATCCACCAGACTTGCTGCATTTCAAAACTGTGTAAAAGGGGAGAAAAAAAATTGTTTTATTTTCCTATGCAGTCTCCTATTTGGCCATTCTGCACAGACCCTGAATATGCAACCTATTTTCATTTGTCTGTACAGTTTCTACTGCTATATTAGAAAAAAAGTAGCTTGAAAAGTCAGGCTTAAACACACATCTTGGTTGCTTTTGTGTTGAATCCAAGAGGGCTTGTGTTTTAGCTCTAGAAATTGTGAGGTTTTAGCAGCTGCTTCGATTTTATTCCCCTGGAAGTACCTGACAGTCACTATGTGGAAGACGCAGCATCGATGCTACACCTGGGTGCGTGAGTTTGCTCTGTCTGCCCTGAGTCCTAATGAA